ATCATTAAATAATTAATTAAATGTGTCAATAATTAATTAAAATGTGAAATACATAAATAATTAATTAAATGTGTCAATAATTAATTAATTAAATGTGTCAATAATTAATTAAAATGTGAAATACATAAATAATTAATTAAATGTGTCAATAATTAATTAATTACATGTGTCATAACTATTTATTAAATTAATTCATTCCAATTTTAATTAATTATTGCCACATTTAATTAATTATTTAATGGTGTATTTAATTAATTCATTATGGCAGTCCTGGCGTTCCATATCCTCGCGCTCACAGACCCATAACGTGTATGGCAGTCCATTCTCCCTGCAACACGGACTACACTGCCCATGATGCTACATTCTTTAGAGCATTGTAGCATTCTGCCTGTTAGCTTAGCACAACAACAACAACAACGAAAAGGCGCTCTCTCACCCAGGAAACACGCAGTCGCAGAGAGAGAGAGAGAGAAACTAATTAAAGACAATTGTTGTTGCTATATTGCAGTTATGATGCCGAAACTAAAATACTGATATTCCTACTCGTATACTGTGTTGTAAATAACTTATATAACTTAGTGTAATTGTTCTTTTTGCACATCTGCAATGGATCCAACATCTGCAACACGCAGAGTGGAATACATGGACACTTATGACCAGTTAATGTAAAAACCAGTTAATCTGGAACACTGGTTTCACATTTAACTGTGCCAGCGTCATCCTCGCTGTGTTTTATTTAAAACTGGGTGTTGCTTTGGCTTAATGCTGTCAACCTCTTTTTCACACGCTGCTCCTGAATAAGTTTGTATTGCAGGTCTGTTTTCAGTCGCAAATGTGGGTGAAACGCTCATTGCATAGTTTAGGACATCGGTAAGGGACAGAGTCATGAATTAAACGAGGCGTTGAAGCAAAGAATTTGTGTCGAGAATTTTTTATAATCGAATTACTTGATAAATCATTGGAGCCCTACTACACTCCAATTCTGGGAGTAATTCATCTGCAGAAAGGTGCAACAATCAAACATAAAGATGATTTTTTATTCATATGGTAATGTAGAACTGTATAACCTAGTTGTGAGAAAGCAATTAGAATGTGGACCACAATAGAGCATTTGTCCTGTTATGGTTTCACCATTGGTTATGTTGGCTTGTTTGCACTTCTCTTGTATAGTGAGTATTTAAAGGTGATTTACAGTTGTATAACTATTTATGTGAAAAAGGAGAGAGAAAATGTAAATAAAACCAAATACATAAAAGATGGTGCCGTCAACCACTGGTACATATTGAAATCTCAGTCTTACAGCTTTTTTAGACCAAAAGGTTCAGGTGAACACCTATTTGCTAATTAAAGGATCTGTACCACACAGTAAGCCATATTACTTTTCAGACAACTGCATTAAAAATGCACCAAAACTCAACAACTGTTTAGTGACTTCTCCTGGCAGAGCTGACAGCTGTTCAGTGTTCTTAGCAGCTTCCCGTGTCATAACGCCTCTCAATCAAAGCTTTCACAACCTTTCACAGCCTCACCAGTTTCAAAATAGACGTACGATAAAGTAATTCACCCCTTGTAGAGTTGTTTAACAGGCTGCAAACATGCAGTTTAATCCTGGAAATGCGGGCATTTTAACATCAGAGTCCATTGGTGTTGGCTTACTTTTGCAGCCCGCCTCAAGTGGCCATTTAAGGAACTGCAGTTTTTTTTTGCATTTTGAGCTGGATTCATGGAGCTTTTGTCCCTCGGTTAACCAAGTCCTGTTATTATTTATGGAACTGTCAATATAAAACGTTTAAAGAGCATACACTTTAGTTTTTGTATATGTTTACACAAAGCGATAAAGTGATGAGTGTTTGGTTGTTTGTTTATTTTATAGCAATCCAATCAGTGAGTCGCTGTACGTAAATGAAAAAACCCTTAACAACGGACTGGGTGAGAGATTTTGCTTTAAAATAATCACAGATTTTTAAAAAGCTGACTGATTTTTGCTAAACACTTTTTACGTGGGTATTTTGTGTTTTTGCAGATGACATTCCAGGAGTGTATGGAAACGTTTTCCCATCGATAGAATTAACAAACGGTACGTCCAGCCTTATATTTTCTGACTCCATTCGAGATGTGAGAAGTCGATTGACGAATAAAGAGTTCAACTCATTCAAACTATTGTTTCACCAAACAGACGACGACGACTATGAAAATTCAGACTTCCTGAAAGATGCAGGTAAGTTTCATTTTTGTCAAGTTTGTGCTTTTGTTCTGTGTTTTTTTTTGTAATCACTTAATCGAGAAATTGAAATCAAGAGTCCAAGTAGACGTGAAAACGAAGCATCTGATTGACAAATAACTTGTGGATTATACTGACTAAGAAAAGAATAACAGAAAGCAGACCGGTGGCTGAGGACCATAGTATCCCAAAATGTGTGTATGCGTGAAGGAGTCTGGACGGGTACTGAGGAAGGATTTTAAGTGAGAAGAATCTTGTAAGTGATACATACTTACCTGTGAGCCAGTGGAGGTTTAAATTATTATGTAGCAACAAAAGAGGTAATACATACTTCCCCTGGGCAAGGTTATCCAATGGGCATTCTGGGCCCAGGAGTCCAAACAAGCAAAAACAAAACAGAAAAACCAAAAGACTCGCTGAAATCAATAATAGATTTAAAATGAGGAAAAAATAGGTGAGGCAGGCTGAAGTGAGTAACGCTGATAATCTCTTTATCGTGGCAGCTGTTAGTGGGTGAGATCTATTAGGGAGCAAGTGAACATTTTGTCCTGAAAGCTGACGTGTTAGAAACAGCAAAAATGTGCAAGAGTAAAGATGTGAGTGAATCTGATGAGGTTCAAATTGTGATGGGGTTGGGTGTTCCCAGTCTGGAGTATCCATCAAACCTCAAGAGTTGTGCAAAGAAGGAACGATGGTGAGCCAGCAGCACGGTCATGTGCAGCCAGGGCTCACTGATGCATATGGGGAGCAAAAGCTGGCCTATTTGATCCAAACCAACAGACGAACCATGTAGCTCAAATTGCTGAAAAGGTTATGCTGGTTCTGATAGAAAGGTGTAAGAATACAGAGTGAATCACATCACTTGTGTCCTGCCATCCATGTGGATGTTATTTTGACCCGTAACACCTACCTAAGCTTGTTGCAAGCTGTGGTCACCCTTTCATGGAAACTGTATTCATGTATGGCTGTTGCCTCTTTTAGGAGAATAATGCGCCCAGCCACAAACCAGAAATGGTTCAGGAATGATTTGAGGAGCACAACGAGTGTTGACTTGGTCTCCAAATTCTCCAGATCTCAATCCAAACGAGCATCTGTGGGATGTGCTGGACAAACAAGATCGATTGGTGGAGGTCCCACCTCACCACTTCCACGACTTAAAGGATCGTTAGCTAACATCTTGGTGGCAGATACCACACCACAATCCATACCTGTAGGCAGGTCGTCATAATGTTATATCTAATCGGTGTATATGGATTGCATGTTTTGTTTAATTATTAAAGAAGATGAAAAGCCCTGACTGTCAAGCTCTTGTGCCTATTAGAGGGGGCTATGCACACACATGTGACAAATTAAAGGAATAACCAAAATAACACAGCTAATTTATGAAGGTGTTGGGCAACACAAACAGTTTCAGTGTGCCTCAGCATTGATTCTCCAATTCACCTTTGCAGGGGAGATGGACCAGCGGTCTTCAAAAAAGTATTCGCTTATGTTCTAATGATGGATGCGGAGAGTCCAGCTTGCCAAAAAAGAATATTTTTTTTCCCTGACCTAATTTTTATTAGTTTTATTCATATAAGATTGCATAAGAATCATGTTGATTCCACATGATCTGTGTTTTTTCCTGTAACACAAATCTGTTGTCTCATGTTGAAGTGATTTCATCGTGTTTAGGGTAATGGATTTTCACCTGTAACTGCAACTTTATTTCTTAATGTCAAAATTATTCAAAGGTATTATGTTCTGAGTACACAGGAATACTTTTACTTTAGGTACTTTAAGTTTAATTTCTTGCTACTGCTGAAGCAAAGTGCTACTACTTCTGCTATGGCTAAAATGCAAGTACTACTACTTCTATATTATAATTACAAATACATGTATTATATGCTGACTTAATTCTATGATAAATATATTTTGTACACTGCTCTTCTTTAACTAATACTACCTATAATATCAGTTCTAAATATTTTAAAAGTAGTAATCTAATAAACCAAACATACTTTGTTAATCAAGTGTCTGTATTTTCTCAGCATTACAGTTACAAAACTGGAACTGGAACTTGAATCAACACAATTAGCAATAATACTCTGGGTATTCTTTTTCCATGGAAAATTTTGCGTCATCACTGAGAGTTACAAACTGTCTAAAATCTTTCATCTTTATAAAATGATGAGTGTGGCTGCTCTACCAGGTGTAACAATAAAGTTTAACATCCAGGCATCCGTGAAAACAGAATTTATGAAGTTTAGTGGAGTTTGAAGTTAGCAGAGATTTAGCTCTTTGTGTCAAAGTAACTGAGGATAAAACAGAAAAACATGAAGGAGATTTTCCTGGCCTGGCTTTTTACAGTAGATAACATTAAAAATATTCTGCAATAGAACAAAAACTGAAGAAAACCATGAATCAGCATATGAACATTACCTGATGCTGCTGAAGTGAAGCAGAGCAAAGTTACAGAGGTTTTACTAGAGACACAGCTAAGCCTTTTGCAGTTCGGTATAATTTTAAAAAGTTTGACATTTCTTGTTGGAAGTCATTTAAAAAAAAAAAAAAAGACAGCGGCTGACAGCGCTGTAAACAACGTTAGACTGGAGGGCAATAAGCTAGCAAATAATGCAGAAACAGAGATTTGAGATGGGAAATACACTGAGAGAGAGAGAGAGAACTGTGCAGGAAATGTGATTTCATCGTGGTGGAAGCAAAACAGCAAAAGTAAGAGAATTCATTACGATGTTTACGTGAAGTGTAGCTTTGATCTTCTTTTGCTTCCGGTTCGGTGAATTTTGGTCACAATGATGAAACCTGCAGCTTCAGAATCTGTGAGCTGTCAGCTTTCAGCCCAGATGGCGTGTCTGTTGGGTGAGGATGCCGACATCTCGCAGATTCTGATGCGTCGGGTCTGTGCTTTGTGTTTACGTCTTTGTGTGGAATCCGTTTACTCTCATTTGCTTTTTTAGCTCTTTAGTGGTTGCTGAAATAGTTTTGTGAGCTTTAACCTGAAATTCTGGCGTTTCTGGCAAAATACATTTATATTTAAAAATCGATTCAGTATCTAATGAATCTATATCGCTTTATTCAAGCTAAAATCAATTTTAATTGGAAAACCGATTATTGAAACCCACCCGTAATAATGATTCGCTATGTGGTGGCTAGCTACACAGCTATGGTTAGCATAATATAAAGACAGTGAAGCTGGAGGACGAACGTTAAAAAAAGTTCAAAAGTTAACGTGAGGGTTCCTGATGGTTTGGGACAAATGCAACTGGATGGCAGGATGCTGTAAACAGACCAAACTTCAGTCAGGAGAACAACTGAGATATTGTGGATGGATTATTGTTCAGATTAAACAGAACAAGATACAAAGCATTAAAACAAGTTAAAGACACAACAGCCTTAATAAATGCAGAGTAGTTTAGACCGGGAAGCAAGGTTCATACGTCATCACTTAACAACTGGATACTAATTGCTTAACGCTTTATTTTAATAACAATAACTAAAGTAAATGAACCTTGTAACGCCTTAAGAGCTGCACAATATTGTCACATAATAAAAAATGAAAAATGTTTCTTACCTATATATCATATCTTAGGTCACACTTTTTAACTAGCTGCTTAAAGCCCTGCTTTTTCACCATGTAACCACATCAGTAACTTACATCCGTTTACTCTTCCTGTTTGTTCCCGAACAGTTTTATTATCAGATGTAGGTAACTCGTGGGACAAGAAGCTCCATCTAGCATGTAAAAAGTAATATTTCCTCAGCCGAAAGCCTCGTTTTTTTTTTAGCATAGAAGCTTTTTGTTTTCTTGTTATCCCACAAAATAAGATGAAGTCCAGGTCCCAGCTACATCAACTACTTTCTTTCTTTATCACTGCAGCCCCTTCATGAGTTCATGGCAGAGTTTTAGTAGCTACATCATCCTATCTGTATGCACATTTGTAGAGGCTTTGGCTACATGCTACTAATGTTACACACTTTCAAGAGACCAACTACATCAACATTAAGGAGCTGCAGCAGTCTTTAGTAGAAAAATATAAACTAAATCTATTTTTTTAATATCCCAAAATGACTATGACCTTAGGTGTATGTTGTTTGTCTTATTATGTGGCAATAGACACATAATAAGACAAGCCAATCATATTACCCATTTTACATTAGCTTGTTTAAATGCTAACATACTGACACTAACGCAAGTTTGTTACAGTCAGTTAACAACACTCACACAAAAATAATACTACAACCATCTTAACTAACTCATTGACTAACTAATTTGAAAACAGTTAATGTTAGCTAATTTATGTTTCTCTTTAATGTTAGCCGATATGTCAACACACACACACACACACACACACACACACACACACACACACACACACACACAAAACAAAACAAAAATATTAGTAATTAGTAATATAATATAATTTATATATATTATATTAATATAATTTGCTTTGCTGTGAAGCAAAGCAAATGATTCACATCATTTTCAAACTCCTCAAATCTTTTATTGAGTGTATATATTCACTCAGGGATTTGATTAGGTACGCCTCGTAGGTTTGACCCCTTTCACCCTCAGGGCTGCCTTAATTCTTCATGGCATATATTCGACCAGGTTCATATTGACATTATACCATCACACAGTTGCTACAGATTTGTCGGCTGCGCATCCATGATGTGACCCAAATCCCAAAGCTGCTCTTTTGGACTGAGATCTAGCTGTGGAGGCTCTTTGAGTATAGTGAACTCATTGTCGTGTTCAAGAAACCAGGTTTATGATGATTTGAGCTTTGAGAAATGGTGCATTTTCCTGCTGTAAGCAGCCACTAGACGACGGGTAAACTGTGTTCATAAAGGGATGGACATGATCAGCAAGAATACTCAGGTAGGCTGTTGCGTTTACATGATGCTTAGTTTATACTAGGGGGCCAAGAGAATATCCCCCACACCATTATACCACCAGAAGCCTAAACGTAGGATAGATCCATGCTTTTATGTTGTTTATGCCAAATTCTGACCCTAACATCCAAATGTCACGGCAGATATCGAGAATCATCAGACCGAAAAAAAATCATCACACCATCTTCTGTAGTCCAATTTTGGTGATGCGTGCAAATAGTAGCTTCAGTTTCCTGTTCTTAGCTGACAGGAGTAGCACTTGATCAGGCCTGTTGCTGCTGCAGCCCATCCTCTTTGAATTCGAAAGAAAAAGAAGCACACTGACCCACAGGAGGTCTTCGCGTCTCCTAATATTAGTAAACATCCATTATTCCAGAGAGACATTTAAACAGGATATTGAGAGCCCAGTTGCTTTGCAGACGTAAGTACGACCCGGACGCTGGGATAGATTTTATTGTCAACCAACTGCAAGGGCCTGGGAAGGATCACGGTCAAGTGTTTCGTTCCCACAAATTAGTATTTCGTGCCCACGAAGTAGTATTTTGTGGCTACAATTTATTTATTTTTTGGACCATGTCATCAGAGGGGCTCCGTAAAAACCAGTCATTGTAGTGTCTCACTTTAACCAAACCACACCACTGCAGCGACTGTTGGTTGGTATTTTAGCCGTCTTTTTCATCAGGGACAAAAGGTCCCTTTGTTTGTGTGCTATAAACCATGTCCACAAGCTTTTAAACAACCTCCCTGTAAGCTTCAAACTGAAAGAGAAGCTGTTTAACCTGGTGAAATAACTATTTTTATTTAATAAATGATGTCATTTGCATCAGTTGAACTGGGGTCTCTCGTGTGAATATCAAATAATCACAACACCAAAGTTTTTTTGTGACAGGTTGCTGGCTTCCAAAGATGCATTTTAAAGTGGTTTCTTTGATAACTTGTCTGTTATGTGAAGACACAACACTGGTTATATTTTGAGTTAGGTGTTTATTAATGCTTGAAAGATTCAGGTCAGTTTTAAATGGTTTAACAGACAAACAAACTAAACATTCATCTGAAAATCATCAGGTACAAGCACTGAACTGACTCAAAAAAGTAGCAAATATAAAAAAACAACAAACTTTTAACGACCTTTTAGAAAGACAGAGGAACTATTATGCAACACCTTTTTTTTTAAAATTTGAGGACAGTCTAGCTCCTTAGAAGGGTTCACTCAAGACTTTTTCACAGAGCTTCAATGATTAAAATCACAACTTAACACCCTGAAACATGGCCCTTAATTTCAGATGTACAGAAAAAGACAGAAGCACCGGCAGCGGGTACCTCTCCAAATGATTCATCACAAGGTGAGCACACATAGCTGCCACTAAAAGTTATTCCATGCAATAATTTGTATTCAT